ACAATCCTCGACGATAATGCTAGGGGCGCTGCTGAAACAGCTGGTTGGCGGACTAGAGAAGATCCCAGAGGAGATATCGCGGGCATACCAAGACCAGAAAAAAACCTTTGGTGGACGGGGACCGCAACTTTCGGATATTGTAAAGATGCTGCAGGCTACCACTTCCAAAGAGCCTACGTTCGTATGCATCGACGCACTAGATGAGTGTGTGGAAGGAAATCGAGTCAAGCTTCTTGACTCACTAAATAAAATTCTCCAGAAGTCTCCCGGCACTCGGATATTCGTGACTGGAAGGCCACATATCCGACCCGAGATTAGAAGACGCCTTACCGAGAGAGTGACAACTATATCCATAAGTCCAAAGAGAGATGATATTATCAGATATCTTCACTCCAAGCTGGATGAGGACACAAACCCAGATGCGATGGACAGTAGTCTAGTAGAGGACATCCTCAGGAAAATTCCCGATGATATTTCTGAAATGTAAGTAGAAGCAACAACACTGGGGAAGTTACATTAGGTCATCCGCTGACAGATATATATATAGATTCCTACTAGTCTCGCTAAATATTGATGCGATCCTTCAAGAAACCACAATCCATCGCAGGCGACAAAGGCTCAACGCAATGGCCGGTGGGTTAGGGTTGGAGGATGTTTATGGCGCAACGCTGGGCCGGATAAAGGGACAAGGTGGGGGGAAAGCGAGGCTTGGCATTGCCACTTTAATGTGGATCTCTCACGCGGAGCGGCCCTTGAAACCCGATGAACTTTGCCACGCCCTAGCTGTCGAGATAGAGTCGCCTAATATCAATACCAATAATGTTCCCTCAATCGGGACATTACTAGCGTGCTGTCAAGGACTTATTGTAGTAGATAAGGATGCCTCCACGGTCCGCTTAATCCACTTTACCCTTCAAGAATACCTCCGCGCCCATCCTGAACTTTTTAGCAGAGCTCACTCGACAATGGCGGAAACATGCCTGAGTTATCTAAATTCCCACCAGGTCAAGGCTCTTTCAGCCAGTCCTTCTCCCGATTTCGGAGACACACCATTTCTTGAATATTCTTCTCTATATTGGGGACTCCATGCAAAGAGGGACATCACGGATTGTGTCAAATTGCTTGCACGGAAGCTATTTGACGACTACAGCAACCACATATCAATTAAGATCCTCTTAAAAGAATAGATCCTGTATCGATACCTCGTTAATTTCGACGGACCCCTCCTATTCGGTAGTCTGCACTGTGCGTCCTTCTTCGGGATTAGTGAGATTGCAGCTAGTTTAGTAGATGTGGGAGGCTGCGACATCAATCAAGAGGACTGCCTGGGTAATACACCACTCAATTTTGCTGCTTTGGGTGGGCACGAGGAAGTGGTAAAAATACTACTTGGACGGGGCGAGGTCAGCCTCGACAAACCAAATTTCATGCGCCAAACGCCACTCCGTTGTGCTGCTTCGAACGGGCACGAGGGAGTGGTGAAAATACTACTCGGACGAGACGAGGTCAACCCCGCCAAACCAGGTGATTCCGGCGAAACGCCACTCCATTGCGCTGCTCAGAATGGGCATGAGGGAGTGGTGAAAATACTGCTCGGACGGGACGAGGTCAACCCCGACAAATCAGCGGATGACGGCCGAACGCCACTCTATTGCGCTGCTCAGAATGGGCATGAGGGAGTGGTGAAAATACTACTCGGACGAGGTCAACCCAGATAAACCAGGTAATTACGGCCAAACTCCACTTTATTGTGCTGCTAGGAATGGGCACGAAGGAGTGGTAAAAATTCTACTCGGACGGGACGAGGTTAACCCTAACAAACCAAATAATTACGGCCAAACGCCACTGCATTGTGCTACTCAGAGTGGGCACGATGGAGTGGTGAAAATACTACTCGAACGGGGCGAGATCAACCCCGACAAACCAGATAATGACGGCCAAGCGCCGCTCCATTGGGCTGCCTGGTGTGGGCGTGAGGGGGTGACGAAACTCCTACTCGAACGGGACGATATCAACCCCAACAAACCAGATAATCGCGGCCGAACACCACTATATCGTGCTGCTTCGAAGGGGCAAGAGAGGGTGGTAAAAACATTACTCGAACGAGACGAGGTCAATCCCGAAATACCAGATATCAACGGTGGAACACTACTCTATTGTGCTGCGATGAATGGGCACGAGGGAGTGGTGAAAATACTACTCGAATGGGACGAAGTCAGCCCCGACGAACCAGATATATACGGGAAAACACCCCTCCACTGCACTGCTATGAATGGGCACGAGGGAGTGGTGAAAATACTACTCGAACGGGACGATGTTGACCCCGACAAACCAGATGATGATGGCCACACACCCCTCTATTGTGCTGCTTCAAACGGGCACGAGGAAGTAGTGCATATACTGCTTGGATGGGACGGGGTCAACCCCGACAAGTCATATAGATTCGGCCAAACGCCACTCCACCGCGCTGCCAAGGGTGGGCACGAGGGAGTTGTGAAAATACTACTCGGACGGGACGAAGTCAACCCCGACAAACCAAATAATTACGGTGAAACACCCCTATACTGTGCTGCCTGGAATGGGCACGATGGAGTGGTGAAAATCCTACTTGAACGGGACGAGGTCAACCCCGACAAACCAGATATATACGGCCAAACACCACTCCATTGCGCTGCTGTGGATGGTCACACGGGAGTGGTGAAAACACTACTTGGATGGCGCGGCGTCAACCCCAAAAAACCAGATAACCGCGGCCGAACTCCACTCGACCTTGCACTTAAGAATAAGCATGAGGTGATAGGGCTCCTACAACCCCCACAATCTTCCACCCCCAGCATCTCCTAAGTCCGAGGCGACATCACTCCCCTAGCCGCCTTCAAATACGTAAAACCTATCTTCAATTTTTGCAAGAACTCTATAAACACGTCTATCGCCGCCATTGCCCTCACCCCTACCCAGCCTTCTCCCGCCGTTTAAATTCCGCCTCATGGCAATTGCCCTCCTTCCCTCCCTTCTCGGGTGCGCCTGTCAAACAATCGTAGCTTAAACTCCTTCTCCCGGCCGAAGGAAATCATCTATAATCGAACCCACATACCCACCTTATACCCTTCCAACCCTATATATGCATTTCCTCTTGCAGTCGAGCCAAGCCTTTCTTCTTTCTTTTTCTCTTTGTTTATGATATATTACCATACTGAGTTGATGGGGGGTGGTATTTCCATTATATTGAGATGAGCCCATATCTCGAACCCTCTATCATATTTCCTTTCCTCCCCGCTTTCCGGTTGCAAATCCTCCCTGCACATCTATTCATTTTTATTTCCTCCGCAATTCCTACTTTTCCATTTTCTCTCTCCTCAACTGTAGACCTCGGTCTTTTAGATATAGACAAAAACATTCGATATGATATAACTCACAAGTATTTCATACACCCACAACAAAAAGGAACTTGAAAAGCCAGCCGCTAGATAAAGGTACTATTTATTATATGGACCGGTTTCCACCTACACACGATCTAATGGAAAAACCACACTTATCCGCCACTCCCCGCCTGACGAGCGCCGGAATGTGAAATCCGAGCGTCCATGCAAACTTTCTTCCACCCCCTCTACCCACCAAGGAAAATTAAGACTCTTTCAACCCAACAAAACCAACCCCCATTTCTACAAACAAGTACGGGTACCAAATAAACCCGCTCCTTGGCCAAAACCCTTCACACACACTCTCTCCGTCTTAGATATATGCCATCCTCACTGCCCACCGTAAGAATATCTACTATACCCTTATCCATACTATATAGTACACGATGGTAGGTTTGACCGACCTTGTTCGTCTTCCGCCTTACTCCCCCCCCCCCCCAATGTGCCCTCTCGGCACCAACCAAAGGGTCTTTCTTTTTTTTAAAAAAAAAACATCATACCAGCGGCTGCTGATAAGAAACTAATATCATAATACATGTGGTAACCTCACGACAAATCTACCCGTAACTTGACCGCTACGGCAGACAAATCAGCGATCCCCGGGTACTGTACAGCACACTGCCGAGCAATAACTAGAGATGATAACGGCGAATAAGTTCCTCTCCTACCCAATCATTATATCGAAAACAGCCATGGAATAATAATATACTCCCCCCTCAACGCCTTATTACCAGAAGCAGCAATTTCCCAGTCTTATACAGCACCCTACTCTATGCAAAGTAAACGCCTCTTTTCGGGTAGCGCAGTAGAAGCGAGTGACGTCGCATGACTCCCCACCTCGCCCTAATACGGTAGGCGAACCGGCATAACTATTATCATACGATCTTGAGTCGGCCACTCTTTTTTCTTCCCCTTTCCTTTCCCTCTCCTCTCATTCGATAAGTTGCGATGGTTAGAAAACCGTTTCGTGTGGTAGATTAAGTAATACCTATAATTTACCGTCGGAGAAAGGCACATATAACAACACACCGCTTATGCTCTACTGTACTGTACAGTACTGGTGTCATACGCGGGTATGGACGTGGGTGACCGGACAGACAGGGGTTAGAAAATATATGCAGATGCACAGATTTCCTAACCCTGTCTGTCCCGTCACCCACGTCCATGTCCGAGTACTAGCATATTGGTATCGCAGTGGACTTCAAGAAGTTCATTAGAAGATCACATGACACTGTATACAAGCGATATTCACCCGTCCTCTCCCACCTCACTGCAAAAAAAAACAATCGGTATCTTACCAAACCTTGGAATGATAAACACCCCTTCCCCCTCTCCAAGGTTATTTCGAGAGACAGTAACTGTGAGACTCACGTGATCGAGGCACGTTGGAGCTCACAATGCGTGGGCTTTTCCGAGCCGGATTTGCCATTTCCCTCGCGGGGAAGACTGCAGGGCTGGCGGAGATCGCGCATAGTTTGTGCTTTTTCTTTCTTCTGTTTGAGTTTTAAGGTTTCGGTTGTGATGGGGGGAGATATCGATTGGGTATGGTACCGGTATAATGTGCACTGTAGACACCGAACAGGTAGAAAGAAGAAAGGTGTTATGATACGCAGATTCTAGAGTACTGTAGAATGCTCGCGAAACTCTCGCGGTGTTTATGACAGGCACAGTGCGGTGCGCTGGTCTCCTATGATAATAACAATCCACCATCCAGGTTTGATATCAGGGGCTGACCATAGTTTCACCTTCAATCCCTCTCTACCCAAACAATCAACCAGCTATACAAAACCCACCACCTTCCACTCCAGAACAGCAAAAAACAAACTCTTTCACCGAACAAACCTCGGTATCATACATACGTGACATGGAGCCGAGCTCATCCCTCATCCCTTAATCTCTATTCGACAAGATCTACAGTATCATACAAATCTCTCCACCCCAAATGACGGGGGAACGGTTTTAAAACCACTATATTCAAAGCCCAGTTTCTTATCCCCATCACAACCCCCTCCCATACTAGGGTTCGTGTTCACCGATACCAGCTAAACTAAATATATATGTATGTAAAATGGAAGGAAGAAGGGCTTAACAATGCTTGTTGGAAGAAAAGAAAAGTATAAAAAAAGTAAAAGGGTAATATGGTGGTAAGAGAAACACCGGTCATGCATGCATGCATGTTGTGGCTGAGTCGAATTGGACCACCTACAAACAAAGGAATGCAGCCAGGAGGGCGAAAACCACCCAAGCGCCCTTCTGGGCATTGATGGAGGATGGAGGAGCGGAATTTATTTCGCCGCTAGTGAAGGGGCTTCCGTTTCCGCTCATGCCGTTGGAGGTGGTGCTGGCAGCGGCGATCGAGGCGGATTCGGCAGTGGAGGTGGAGTTGGGATTGTAGAAAATTCGCGTGAATGAGGAGTCGGCGGTTTCGAAGGAACCCGTGGGCGCTGGTGAGTTATCCAGCGTTAGCAAGCCCGCGAGGCTGGAGCTCCCGGTCGGACGCTCGATCGAGAGGGTCATTGATCCGGAGAAGCTAGGCGCTCGGGTTGGCACGGTACTTTTGGTCAGAGTTGACGCTGAGGTTGACGTGCTTGTCGGCGAAGCGGTGGTGGTAGTTGTCTTCGCTCCGGGGACAGAGTCGCTGCCGGTCGAGGAAGCAACGTAGACGGGTGTGGAGACGGCGGCCCCGCACAAGGTCTTCTGAATGCCTCCATCGAGAACTCGTCTCAAGAGGGTGTCAGGGCCGATGAAGGCTTGTCGGCAAGCGACAATCACTTTCTTTGCTGTTTCGTCGAGTGCTGCGGAGCATCCAGCGCTGCATTGCTTCGATGCGCGGAGGTCGGATGGACATGCGGGCATTGGCTCGCCGTAGGCCGATTCACAACCCGGTGTTACCGAGTTCGACGGCAGAGGGGAGATATCGGACAGTGACACGGCGGAAACACTGGTGACGATCAATAAGGTGGGGAGAATCGAGAAACGCATCTTCCGAGTACTTTTTGCTTCTTGTTCTGTCTTTTATCTACGGTTCTTCTCTCCTTCAAATCGAGGTTTTTTGAGCCGAAAACGAAGGTAATTTTTTTCCCCTGTACTTTACCACCCGGGCAAGCAGAAAATTTTTTGATCCAGATTCCAAACCTTAAAAAAGAGTGAGGGTTGATTCGAAGGAATGTTTGTCGAGGGAGTGTTTGTTTGATAGCTTCCTTGCTGCCCGAGAACCTGCCGTCGAAGAGGAGCGAGAGGGAGGAGAAAAATGAATGAATGAACGAACAAACAAACGAGCGACCCTCAATCTCTCCTGGAAAATCAATCCACCCGTGAATAAAAAAAATAAAAATTAAGAAGGAACGCCAAAACAAAAAAAGAGCACCAGGCCGAATGATATAAGGCAGATCAAACAAAAAAAAAAAAAAGACTCTCAAAGTCGATGGGAAGAAGGGAGAAGAGGAAAGGAAGGGCAGGGGAAGTGAGAAAATGAGGGAAAGGATCTGAAAAGATGGGCAAGATACAGGTATGATACGGCGAGGCGGTAACCAGTGAGACATGACGTGAAGTCGCGTTTCAGAGAATGGGTCGAGTCGGAGGTATTCCTTGCACAACTGCACATCCCTTCCCAACTCAGCCAAGCTATTGAAAAGGGGGGGAAGGCGATGATGACTTTTGACTGACTTACCTTACTACGGGCTGAAGCCTGGAAGAGCGAGCTGTAAGTTACTCGTACTCGTACTTGTACCATACCAGTTACCCGTACGATACCCATAAGTCTTTGATCAATGCATGACAGTTCCTGAAGCTCTCAATATCCACGAGACGATCCGACTTTAATTTGCGGGGCGGGGGTTGGATAGAAATGTGGAGTGCTCGTGTACTGTACTAGTACAGAACCGGTACCGGTACTTGTAAACAATGTAATTTCTTAACAGTATCATCCGGGACAACGGGGTTTCCGGAACAGCGGGGTCTCATGAATAGCACAAAAAATGCAGAGAAAAAATAAAGCTCGTTTATTACCATTCTCTTGAGAGGCAAGCAGGGCAAAGGATGCTGTGTCCAGAGGTGGCACAGTTAATAATTTTGTGAAGCTGTTAAGCTGGACTTTTTAATTGACTTTGTCATCGGCATTATCAAAATTGAAGGAACAGAACATAGACGACTTCCAGCTCAAGAACTCAATCCTCTGTCTGCAAAGTCCAGAGGTGTGTATACTAGAATCTCCCTACCCTTTCCAAGTACTCTCCTTCCTTTCCTTTCTTTACTCCTAGATTTCTTTGGCCACACTCTTTCCTTCTAGCTTAGTTCAACTGTTAGTTCTGATGGGATCTGGTTCAACTTTCTGAGAGGACCAGGGGGGATATGCCTCTAGATATCATACGAATCCAAAACTTGCCTCTTTCCGGTTCAGCGGGGTGAATTATATGGAAGTCCAAAGCTACCACAGATTTTGTCTGGTTCAGCGCGGTATCCGGTTCAGCGCCTTCCGGGATAGCGAGGTGCGACTGTACTCGACAGGAGCTTAGCTCGCTTACACCCCCAACAGAATTTGGTCAAGTCAACACCAAAACCCACTTTACACACACCATTCTTTCGTCCATTCCCCGAACTGAACCAACCTCCCCTCCACCACCCACTTTTGACGCACAGCGAAAATCTTGCCTACTCGTACTCTACAGGATAACAAATTTGGATCGAAGCCTGCATCCCAGATCGCCGGTAGCCTAGCCTTAGTTGACAAACCAGCCTCCGCGAAACCACACCACCGGGCCGATCTTTCCCAGGAACGAAGTGGGCAGCTGACCCGCGCCAAGCATGGCGCCCCTAAACCAACATAGCCCATGGCAGTACCGCAGGTACGAGTATCTCTCCCCTTACTCCCAGTATCATACAAGTACTGTACCTGCACTCGGCGATGGAGAAACTTTGTTCAATATGTAACAACGAGCCCAAACTCCGCCTCCCCCTCTCTCCCCCTCCCTCCCCCTCTCTCGCCCCCAACACGAGCATAAACCACGCACAAATCGAGCGAGCAAACAAACATTGTAGGCGCTTATCGATAACCCCGAAGCGGCTCCCTTAACCACCCCTGCAATATACTTGTAACCCTAAATGAAAGTGGAAAACAAGCAAACGAATGATGACAACAACCCTCCGCAAAACTATTCGCGCAAGATAGGAACGATCCCATAAGATACCGGTTACAAGTACCCCCCCTAAGTAAGGTGAAACCACGAGTGCTGGGTCGTGACGCTTCAGTTATGTGGAAACGGGGGGGGGGGCCGCCGCAACGGTTCTTCCAAACATAACCGGGTGGGAGAGGACATGTAGCGATTTAGGCAGAGTGAGGTCCTTATCCGGCGGGTCATCTACTCGTACCAGTATCCTTCGTGGAAGGTCCACGGTAAACGATACAGTCACGGTATGCAATGTCTCCTTGCTTGTCCGTGCGTTTCTTGTGTGTGACGAGTCTGGTGGCAGTGTGTGGAGATTTTCCCCGCCATTGTCGGGAAATCGGTACTTTCTGCATGAATTACACCGCCTTCACCGCACTTTGCTGCAGCAGCACAGCACAAGCACCGTGTTCGATATATTCCCCACCCGATTTTCCCAGTTGTTTTTTTTTTTTTTTGCTACAATGTTAGCGGGTTTACTTGTACTGTAATTACTGCACTCTTTTTTCCTTCCAAAAAAAAGAAATGAAAACAAACAAACAAAAAACCGCTTGTCAGCGAATTGTCCCTCGCACGATAACGATTTATAACCTTCAGGAGTGGTATTATTATTAAAGCTTTCAAAAACCACATCACGTATCGCTATCGTTACGAGCCTCCGGTAACCTGCCACTAGCCCCATCAACCGGAAATAGCCATATATCCTCAACCGTCACCCACCCCGCATAATACACCACCTCCAAATCCGGTCAGATTTATTAGATTGCATTCACCCACACCAGTACAGTACAAGTACTCGTACATACTGTCACCACAACTACCGTACCCGTTCGTATCGCGATCTCGCTCCACATGGAACGGCTTTGTTGAAAAAATGGTGCGCGACTCAAAATTCTCCGCAAGTACTAGTAAAAAAAAACTCATTTGTGTGGGTTGTGTGATGCCTGTCAGTTCACGGGCGCTTAAAGTCCTGCATTTCCCAGGGGGGGGGCTGCGCTGGGGCTGAGAGGACTATGGGCTTATTCTCCTGAGGGGGTTATGTAAGGTTCTAAACCTGGGGCGCGGGTTGTGCTAGTACTTTTGGATCTTCAGGGAGTCTTTATATTTTATTTTATCTGGAAGGGGCGTGTGCAGTTCAGTCAGTACCGTACTCGAGTACAGTAAGGTCGGTGACTTACTTGGCTCTGGCAGAAGTCCTCGCGTTCGCGCTCGTATTTGGTTGGAATGCTTGCTGCGCGCGGAAATGCCGTTGATTTTGATACAGGGCATTGTCATCATATAGTAGAGTGCCCTGTATTTGACCGACAGATGCATGCTTGGTGGGCTGTGCCAAGTACAGTTCTGTACTCGTACTGTACTGTACTCGTGCTTGTGCTCATGCTGCGCGTTATTAACGGCTATTTTGGTGTTTTGTTTTCGGGAAATCTGGGATTGGCACGGCGTTACGAACAACGCCACACTAATTTAACTCCTGTACCATGTATCTATCTCGAACAGAGGGGGAGTAGAAAAGGCGAAAAATCCTCCAACTTGACTGTATTCCTGTGGAATTTTTTCTTCAAAACCTTCTTCCCCATTAATCGTCGAACTGTTCGGATAAATGCCAAGCCGAGCGAAATGTCTGGATAACAAATTACTGTGTGATATATTATTGTCACTTTTTGAAAATAGAAACTATGGGGGGCAAGGAATGGTCCCCAGGTTGTATCATATGTATCGGACCAGAACTGCCGGAGTGCTTGACCTATCAATTCTCTGTACTGTACTGTAAGAGTAGGAAACCACACCGGAATCGTAAGCATAAAAAAAAAAATATGAACAAGAGCAATTCGAGTTCACTGTGTTAACCCCTCATTAATTCCCACAAAATTATGCATTCGAGTAGCCGGGATGCTAAGGATCAGTATTTTACTGCTCACCGGAATATCCTGCATAGGAATCACTCGCGTGCCGCAGAATAACCCAGAAATTCAGTTTCAAGCTCACTTGAGCATAACAATGCACTGATTTAAAAAGTTTCCCATCTCAGAAGTTCGCACCCTGCTCGGAAACTGCAACAATTTTCTCAATTCTTGACATGCCCGTCACCACAGCCAGGATGCCTCACCGGGCGAAAGATAGGCACAACTGGATAGCTTCTGGCTGTGGTGTGAACCTGCGAAAATTTTCATTTTTGGTGTATAATACACGACAAACGATCGGATAGTCTAGGCTGGTGCGCTCTGCTTGTGCGCGCAGGGCATGTCGTGTGGTGATGGGTTATTATTTCTTCACCGGCCTGAGGAGGAAATGAACCTCACTATATCCGAAACTTTTCCTTTCATATGAACGGTTTCCCGGAGGCGCCGATAAGCCCCATCCACGAGTAACACCGAACCGTACTCGGGTCGAGAACCAGTGCCCTTAAATTACCGATACTATCATTACAACACCCGACCTGGTTATCCCCGCCATCATCCACTCCCTCCAAGTTAGGATCTCTAAAATTACCGCATAGCCGATCGGTACCCTATTGTATCGGGATTGTGGAATTGTGTGGCTCCGATCGCCATGGAGTAGAACCCCGGCTGATCGCGGATGGCAAGATATTTTAAGGGGTTTGAAGAATTCTGTTGACGGTGGTGGTGGTGATGATGATGATAGGTTGTGTGGTATGATAGCGGCTTGTATGGTAACGGGAGTATAGGTGCTCAAGTTACCGGATTGGTGCCGTCTTTTGGGTGTGGAATAATGTTCTGGGGAGAAAAGGCCCAACTTCAGTCCGGCGATTTGAGTACTGTACTATATAATACGTGTACTGTACTCGAGTACAGTACTCGATACTAGTACACCCCTGAGTCGAATCCAGTTTTTATCATATAAAAAAAAAGTTTTTAAAAAATTTGATCACATCCCGAGAAAACATGATATCAATTGCCGGAAGGCTGTCTGGTAATCTTTTGTCACCTGACATATCATACTGTATCATATATAGGAAAGGGTTAGAAAGGGGGTAGCACTCACCCATATTGTGAAGGGGGTGTCATCGGATTTGGTGGTATCGTTATGGTGGCGTTTGGAAAAACTTAAAAATCTGATATATGGTGACATTGACCCGGCAGTATACTACCGACGGACCATAGGTAACTCAGAGCATCCAGGAGGGCCTCCAGACGGCCGGAGACGACAGCCTTTGACACATTTTCCTATGATAGCAAACTCTTCTGGTGGTCGACATCTGAGGTATCATAGCGTGGGTGCTGTCATGGTGGGGC